GTTCTTGTGGCCTTTTTCCAAAAGAGATAATTTCTTGTTTAAGTTTATCATTTATATTTTTGAGTTCTTTGATTTCATTCTCAAAAATCAGGATTTTTTGCTTTACTTCATTGTTTTCTTTGGAGGCCTTTTTGAACATTCTTACCAAATCTTCTACAATGCAAACAACATCATTAAGAGTTAAAGGATCATTGGGAGAAGGTTCTTGATCACTTACCTCTTTTGATGCATCACCATCTTCAATGGCCATGAGACACAAGTTGGCCACTTCTTCCGTTTCTGAGTCTTCACTCTCGGAGTCGTCGTTCTCCCAAGAAATGTAAGCACGCTGCTTCTTCGGTGCCTTCTTGTCCTTCTCGTTCTTGAGCTTTGGGCACATTGGTTTGATTTGTCAACCTTCACCACACCCATAGCATTTGGGTGGAGTGTTCTTCTTGGCTCCCTTCTTGAGCATCATCTTCTTAAATTTTCGGACAAAGAGTCCGAGGTCGGTGTCGTTGCTGTCATCATCTTCATCATCAACGTTGTTGTGGGTTGATGTTGTTGCGGGTAGAGCAATAGACCTTTTGTTCCTTTCTTCAACCACCTTTGAAAGTTGGGTGGTTTCATAGGTAATAAGATTACCTCGAAGAGCATCATAGGTCGTTGTTTGGAAGTCACGACCTTCTTCGATTGCGTCCACCTTTGAACGCCATTTAGGAGATAGGCTTTGCAGCACCTTTCTCACGAGCTCTCGGTCGGTGTATGTCTTCCCGAGAAGATTGAGGGGATTGATGATGTTAGAGAATCTCTCAAACATTTCCTCAATCTTCTCATTTTCCTTCATTGAAAAGAGTTCATACTTGTGAGTGAGATGATCAATTTTGGCCTCCCGAACCTGCGCGGTTCCTTCGTAGGTGACCTGCAATTTCTCCCACATTTGTTTTGCGGTTTCACGCCTTGAGATTTTGCGGTAGTCATCCACGTTAACACCGCAATAAATCATGTTTATTGCCTTGGCGTTGAGCTCCATCTTTTTGCAGTCTTCGTCGGTGAACTCTTCTTCGGTTTTGGACATTGACTTCACCGACTTTCTTCATCGGGACTCCGCAGCCGTTCTTCACAATCAACCACAGCTTGTAGTCGTTGGATTGGATAAAGATTCTCATCCTCTCCTTCCAATACGAGTAGTTTGTTCCATCGAACAATGGTGGCCTCGTGGTTGATTGTCCCTCGGTCACTCCTGCGTTGAACATTCTTGATGCCATTTGATCTTTTAGTTCCTGAAAAAATAATGTATTCGANTAAAGTATATTTTTCTCACCAAAGAAAATTGTGTAATCTTAAAAATGTTTTAAAGAAATTTTGACACACTTATTTTGAAACTGACTCACTAAAATATTTTAGACAGAGAAAAAGTGATTTTTCAACTGACTCAAAAATAATTTTTATCCCTCAGAAATTAAATTGTTTTGTGCAGAAGATATTGTCATCCTTACAAAAATTCCTAGACTCAATAAAAAATAAAAAGTCTTCAGAGTCTTCGCTTCTCTTCAAAAAACTGCGTAGGGGTGAGCGTGAATTATCGCCGAAACTTCTTGATGCCCTTCTTTGCTTTTCTCGATCCGAATAAATTTTTGAATATCGATTGAATTTAATCATCCTGTTTGTCATTCATCAAAACAAAAAATAATCCAAAATAATAAAGGGGTTTGAACTCATGTCCAACAACAGTCACCATCGATATGAGATTTTCTTGGACGCTAATAATGGGTATTAGTTGATTTTCATTTATTCATGTTTAATTATAACATCATTTTGTGTATTTTTTGTATAAATAGCATACATTTTTTAAAATGTAGGTTGGTAATGCCTAAGGGAGCCATTAGGATGATTGCAAAGTCGTTTGAGAGAAAGGTGGATCCTAATGGCTTCAGGTGGGCAAACGTGGGCAAGCCTTACAAAGAGTTTTATTGGAGAGAGTTTCAGGTATATTTAAGTAATTTATTAAATCTTTTTGTAGCATGTTTGAAGGCGTGTAATAAAAAAATCTTAAAATAAAATTTTGTTGTAATAATGATATATGCAGAAAAATGTTTTTTGGCACCATGCAATAGATGATAATGTCACGAAGGGAGCTTTCTTCCGTAAAGTCTCAAATCGTTATGCTGATTTTTTTGGGAATATAAAAAATCCTAAAAGACTCAAAGGACAAGGAAGGGAAAAGGTGCATGCGAGCATTGTTGATGGTTGGAAGCGGGTAAATCATTAATATAATGTTATATATATATGACATTATCTAAAAATATTTTATTTTTTATAGTTTATAATTGAAAAACAAATTCAATGTTATCTACATAGATGTGGGCTAAGGAGAAATATTTGTCTCTTTGTCCAAAAAATAAAACAAATAGGCGTGGAGGAAATATAAATGCGCCGGCACAACCCACACACACTTGGGAACAACGCTCTTTTGACGTGTCTCTTGGGATTCTTGTAAGTGCTAATAACAAAAATGTAGATAGTGATAACATTAACTCATTTGATAATAACTCTATTTTTTTAAAATTAGAGCCAAACCTTGGACGAGGGAGAAGATTCTACCTTTGTCTCGTACACCTACACCCACACCAAAAATCATGACAAAAATCGTGGATCAGCGAAAAAGCAACTACAATGGCCGTAAATCATAAGCTTTGCAATTTTACACACACACACACACACACATAAAAGAGGACTAAATAAGAAAGCTCTCCTGTTATAAAAAATCAATTATGAAATTTATTCTTTGTTTTATTTTTTATTTAATGTTTAACCTAAAATGTTACTTTGGATCGTAATTTACCTAAATGGGTATCCGCTTGGCCCAATTTTCACAAAATTACGTCAAAACGTTATCCTTGTGTATATTTTAACATTTATATTCACAAAAAAGTTCCTCTTAATTATAAAGGTATTTTTAGTCTTAAAAACTAAGATTTTTGAAATTCAAATTTTAAGTTTTTTCATATAAGAAAGTATTTAAAAAAAACTCTTTAAAAGTATAAAAATCCAACTTTTTAAGCTCTAATAGTAACTTTAGTTGCATACCACCTAAAACACTAAAAAAAATAAAAACAAATTTGTTTGTGTATTCTTAAGTGCAAACTACAATGTTGTTTAGAAGCTGGGATACAGAATTGCAAATTATATTCTACAGCCGGATGTATGAGAAGAACTGTACAACCAACAAAAATTAGCTGAGTAGCGCGACATCCGACGAGAAACAAAGATATGGGTGTTGGCAAACCCTAACTACAGTGATAGGAGAACGAAGGAGCATGTCGATGGCAAACCCTAGTTGCATCGATCGGAGAACAAAGGGAGCATAGAGGAATGAAGATTTACAATAATGACAACGATGAAGATGACGATGAAGATGACTAGGACTGTGCTTATTGGGAGTACTATAAGTTTAATTAGACCATTGAATTATATTTTTCAAATTTGAAGAGAATGAATGGTCCGTTACTTGGGAATGAACACTACGTTGTTTGAGAACGAACACTAATTTGTTTCAGAATAACACTACGTTATTTGTAAATGACTATTATAATTATATTGAACAAATGTGTAAAAATGAGTAATACATTATTTCTGAATGAATACTATGTTATTTCACAATGAGTACTATGTTATTTCAAAATGAACACTTAAGTCTGTGCAAGAATGAGTACTATTTTACTTTAACATGAGTAGTACCCGGTACCATATACCTTCAAGGAAAAAAAACAACTAAGATTTTTTATTGGAGTTTTGTCCTTTCTTTAGGGGTGGGCAAAAAATCAAACTAGCATGGTATCATTCTGGACCGTAATGGTACCGAATCATTTATAGTATATTCAAATAGGATTGTTTTTTCATCACGAACCAAAACCAAACCGATATCAAATGGGACAAGACCGTGATACAAATATTTAAAACCGATTATCATGGACCGAGCTGTCCAAAGCTATATACGGAGTATGTATCTCAGATAATTATGGAGTATTTGTCTACTTAATTTTACCGTATATAGAGTACATCGTATTTTATTATTTATTTTTAATTTTTTTAGTATTATTGTTGTCATTATATTTATTACTACTATTGGCATTATTTTTTGTAGTTATTAATAACCCGATGTTATATGAATTGAAAAAAACTATTTTTTAAAATTTGGACTCGCTATCTTTTATTCTTTATGTTTATGATCTATTTAAATTCGAAAGCAATACTTCTATTTAACAAAGTTGTAACTTTTTATACAATTTTATACATTAAATTCAATATTCTTTGAATAATGTTTGTCTTTTTTTGGCACAGTTTGAGCATGGCTATGGTATTGTACCATTCAGTTTCAAAATCAAATGATACTGAATGGTTTTGGTTTTCAATTCGTACCAATACAAAACTATTTAAATAAGAACTATGGTTCTTATACTCCCTCCGTCACTAAATAGATTACAATTTTTTTCTCTCCCCTCGATAACCTTTGTTTGTTTACGCGATTTCATTAAGTGTTTGATAAAATAAAATATTTTTGTCACCTCTTATTTTGTAGAACTTTTGACATAGTTTTTTAAAATGTAATTTTTATATCTTATTAATATACCAATTTGTAAATAAAATGATTTCAAAAAATAAGAAATTTTACTTCGTAACTCACAATTTGTAATCAAATTGAGGAAGGAGTATATAATCTTCATGTGCAGTCCCTCCTACCTTAACACTAGGGCTGGACACGGTACCGGTACGGTACCGTTACCGGCAACGGTACCGCCGGTACCATCTACCGTCACCGTCGCACGGCACGTCCCACCGGTGCCAGGAACCGGTACCGGAACCGCCCCAACCGGTACCGGTACCCAAATTTTTGTCTCGGAACCGCCGGTACCGGTACGGTACCGGTACCGTTACTTTATTTTTTTTCCTGCACCTGCAATAGATCTGCCAACCACTTGTCTACCTGCAAAAAAAAAGAAGGGAAACATTAAAGGGAAGGGGGGAAGTCGGGGAACTAGTCTTCAACGGGAGGAACAAGTGGCTGCAACAAAAAATTACGGAGTATTAAACAGATCGGCAATTCGGATTGCTTTAAACAGATCGGCACACAGAGGGATTAGTCTTCAACAGATCTGCAAACTTCAAAAATATTAAAAAAA